AGATAATAGTTGCAAATACTGCAAAATAATAGTTTTTAAATGTATATATAATATTATTCAAGAAACGTTCAAAAATGCAATGTAAAATCAACATTTCGAAACATTAATTTCATGCTCCTTGCTTACTGCCTCAATTGCCAGATAACACAGGTACAATAATAATAAACGTACGTTGTCGCTCAAGTAGACATAACGAGAGTGCGTCACCGCCAGAATCGTCGACGACACTGACTGAAAATTCAAGAGAAAAGAAGCATCCACGTTCGCAGAAGAAAGATTTCTCTTCCTCCAGAGAGCGCTCTTCCCACAATCAATAAATACATAAACGAAATGCCCGGTTAACTTACCCCTCTCCCCGGCCCCCTCGCTCTCGATCTTCATCCATCAGAGCGGCGAGACTTGCGGCGACTTGCCGGCGTCGGCAACGGAAAGCTGCGCTGATTCGCTTGGTCAGGCTACGCGGGCGAGCGAAATCGAGTGACCGGCGCTCCCGCGACCGATGTATTTACCCGCTGTCACTCAATTAACGGACGATCAACACCGCGACACGCGTGTTCACATTCAACGTTCTCGCCGCGCGTGTCGCCGTTGTCGATGACGACGACGACGGCGACGGCGAAACAACGACCACCCATTAAACCGGCCGCGGGCGGGGCGGGCTTCAGTGTTTCGCATGTTTAGTCGGCAACTAGGGCTAAATATCATTTTGCCAGGCTCGCGCACAAAAGTGCGCTTTCTCGCGCAATTCCGGCGCGCACGGCTGCACGATTGCCTCCGATCGCGGCCTCCGTGAACCTCGCCGAACCCCGATTGCATATCAATGCGGAATCGCGCAGCCGACCGGCCGCGGCCGATCGCTCGTTGCGCGCGCGGACCTGGTGCGCACCGATTAGCGCGAGAATTTTCACCGACCTGCACGTGGCGCACGCACGGCCGCCAGGCGGTTTTCCGCGCCACCGCTGGCGGACGCGAGTCCCGCGTGATGAAAAAGTTGCGAGTTGTGTTGGTCGAATAATCGAAGGGCTTCCGCCGGAAAAACGCCGTCATGCGCTCGAAATTAGAGACGCGTGAGACCGTTACACGCGCTCTCGTTTATATCTCTCTCTCTCTCTCTCTCTCTCTCTCTCTCTCTCTCTCTCTCTCTCTCTCTCTCTCTCGCTGTCGCGCGCGGTCTCGCTCGCGGCGGTGGTCTTTTGTTTGCACGGGGATTTTTTTCATCGGTTTTCTTCATCGGTATTACGTTCATAGACGTATTATAATAATAGCTAGACCGCGCGCGGTCTCAACGTCTCCTTTCGTTAGAACGCGTCAGAAATTAGAAAGAGATAGTTGTCGTACGGGTACTATTTTGTCTTTTTCTAAAGACGCGCGGTAGAGTAAAGAGGCTTTTAGTGAGGAACGAAAGAGGAAGGTAGAGGGGAGCGGAACGATACACGTAAATCCCCACTTCAAATATTATCAGACGAAAACAGAATGGTGCCCCGAAGCATGCTCTCTCTCTCTCTCTCTCTCTCTCTCTCTCTCTCTCTCTCTCCCCCTCTCCCTCTCTCTCTCTCTCTCTCTCTCTCCCCCCCTCTCTCTCTCTCTCTCTCTTTCTAATATGTGACGACTTTTCGGCCAAATGCGCGGTTTAGTTATTATATACGTCTATGATTACGTCGCGTTGGAGGTATCAGGAGGTTGAATTAGTTCTGGTCCCTAGCAATAGATGTCTTCAGCAACAAGTTAATGGTTAGTACGAATGTTGAAATCTGGCAACGCCGGAAGATTTGATATTTCTCTACGACATATGACACTTTGCGCGCTATTGTTACCAATAGCTACATTGTTTATACGCGTCTAAAATGGATCGTACAAAATTGTATCTTCAACATTCACCACTTTCTTGTATTTGATTTGAAAAATCGATAAATGAAGCTCATAAAATGCTTGATGCAACTTATGGTGATCAAGCTTCATCGTATTCCAACTATAAATTTTGGTCTCATCGATTCGAAAGTGATAATTTCGATCGGGTGGCAAAGAACATACTGGTCAACCAAAAAAAATTCGAAGATTCTGAATTGCAAAAGCATTATTGAATGAAAACACTGCTTAAACGGAAAGCAATTGGCTAAACAGCTCAGCGTCGATACAATCAACAATTTCTAAACACCATGGGAAAAGTTCGAAAAGAAGGCAAGTGGGTTCCATGAACTGAGGGAAAGTGCCATTGCAAGTCGTTTGAATATCGTCATGTCTTTGCTTGCCAGAAGACAGAAAGAAAAGAGTTTTTTTATGACGAGTTGTAACTGGAGATGAAAAGTGGATTTATTTTGATAAACCAAAGCGAAAGAAATTATGGGCTGATCCAGAACAACCATCAACATCGACCAACATCAAAAATTCACGGAACATTTATAGTCACAAAGCGACGCTCTATATTTGGTGGGATATATGGAAGACGTGATGTATTATGAGCTTCTAAAACCGAATGAACAGCGGGGGAGCGATACCAGCAACGATTGAACACATTGAATATCATTAAGCTAACGTCTTAAAAATATTAAAAATATTTTGATTAATGCAAATTTAAACATTTCTTTAAAACAAAGATAAAAAAGATTGACAAAGTAAGAGCAGAATTGATTCAACCTCATAATATTGTTCTGCAGACGTGACTCGCGCTTAAAATTGATCGGCTGGGGGCTTCGAGAGATTCGAATTCGTTGTTATTAAGTCGCCCGTCCAAGCGACTCGTGGATTATCGATGAGTATTTTTTTCTTATTTTACGACCGCCCCTTTGCGTTTTCGGAGCCGTATGTTTATTCATTCGTGCGCTTGTATGCGAGGAGATCGACTCGTATCGGTTTCGTTTAATGATTACTGATCCGGGAGTAATATCGATGCCCCTCGTTTATAGCTTTGATTAAAACGAAATTTGATTTAAATAGGATTTCGCTCTAATTGAAATAATATTAATAAGATTTAACTGATTTTGAGTAATTTCACTTTAATTACGCGACTTTTTAATTCGGCCTTATTTGTATGATTAATACTTGTTTATCGCATAAAGCGGACAGCAGTTTATGCACGCAGCAGATCAAATCATTATTTTCCCATTGAATAAGCGTGAAATTTTCGCTGCACCAAATTAAATTAAACGTCGAGAATATATCGAATAATTTTAACTGTATTCGTCGATGCGTAAAAAATCGAGGATACTCGTGTATTGTAATCGATTTAGGCGCGATCACTGGCGCAACAAATTAGTGGCACTCTTTATGATAAATTCTCATTTTATATGCGTGCTCTCTCCCTTCTCTCTCTCTCTCTCTCTCTCTCTCTCTCTCTCTCTCTCTCTCTCTCTCTCTCTCTCTCTCTCTCTCTCTCTCTCTCTCCCCCTCTCCCTCTCTCTCTCTCTCTCTTTTTCGTTTTGTTCGCAATTAATTGGTCTCGCTCGAAGTTCGAGCAGTTGTCGCGAAAGAAATGCAAACACGTTTAAAAGTTACGCGCCTCGCGTCTCGACGCTCGAATACGCGAGATTCGAAAATTCGGAAGTTATCGAAACCGCATCCTTCAGTAACGTGAAAGAGAAAGCGGGAAAGACGAACAGAGGGAGATGGTCAAAGGGCTACACCGCACTCCACCTCAATTTCAACGTTCTCCTACTGCATTGAGAGAGAGAGAGAGAGAGAGAGAGAGAGAGAGAGAGAGAGAGAGAGGGAGAGGAGAGGGGAGAGAGCGCTTCTCTACTTATCCTCACCTCGGAAGATGCTGCTCTTTGAACCTCGCTTCATCTGCAAGCTCATCAAGCAATTTGTTACTCTCGCATGGTCTTTAACGCCACCTCCTTTTCATCTATGCCTCGTTTACAGCGCCTTCGCAAGGATGGATACGTATCTCGTGTAACTATGGCTTTCACAAACCGCTCCTCGCCGTTTAATGAAACCTTTTGCCCGTTTATTGATCAATTAATACTTTCCAACTAATCCGTTCTCGACACACCGACAGGGGAGCCGTTTCAACGTTTTTGTCTCAAAGTGAAAAAAAAAACAAAAAGTTGAAGAAACAGGTTAAGGAAAAGATCATCTTGCAATCTGCGAGATCATTTAGAAAAAAAAAAAATTGTGGAAAAACTGCCCATTGTGATGCTTCTCTTGCTCTTTCTCAAAACCGAATAAGTTTCATCTGATATTATCGAATAGCAAATACGTTTTGGGAGGAAATCTCGTGGACATGAGACAAGAACAAATAGAGCAGAGAAATTATCGCACTTTTACGACCCGACTCAGAACTCAGAACACATCCGGTATCCAGCAAGCGAAAAAGATTGTCATAACTTTAAGTTTAAATGAAGCAAAATTAAATTGAATTAAACCGAATTATTTCGTCACATTTTATTTAATTCACCCTCTAAGAATTAACATAAAAAATTCTCCCACCGGGGATACGAAAGTACCGTGAAACTTATTGATGAGAAGAAAATGTTGCGATTTTTCTTTTCAGCGACTGTACGTTCCTCGTGTCACGCAAGAAGAGCAAGGAAAAACAATCGAGACGGTTTAGACAAACGGATCCATCGGCGAATGGACGCTACCACTCGCGAAACACTTCGAAGTTAACGCGTCGGTTCGGCTTTATCTCGGGCATTCCAATCAATCGGACGATCGGCGATCTTGCGGCGATCGTTTCTCTCTCTCTCTCCCTTTCTCTCTCTCTCTCTCTCTCTCTCTCTCTCTCTCTCTCTCGCTCTCTCGAAGCGTGATACCTCTTTAGCGGCGGCGGAGAGAATAGACGCCGAGATCGAACAGGTCCGTGCGATGCTCGGACCCGCTCGAGATTAATGGCCAGAATTAGTATTCGTCGCAGTACGGTTGAATTACAGAAAGTGTGTGTGTGTTATCTCGCCGGCTACAAGCGGACGCTTAGCGCCGTCCTCTTGCACCCTCCGCCTCTTTTTTACTTCGCGATCCATATTACTGGCCCGTTGAATAATGTGACGATTTATTTTTCTTAGGTCCGCGATCGCTGATTAAGAAGAAGCCCTGGAGCCACGCGGGGCAGCATTGAAGGTGGCGGGCGCAGAGTTAGTAAGAGAATGAGTGGGGGGAAGGAGAGGAGGAGAAGCTCGAGAGAAGCTGAGGGGACTGAAAATCGGCGCTGCGCTATATATCGAATCGCACCGGCGAATTGCCGAATTCGGTTTTGCATTAATCCTGCAAATTTCATCAAATTTAAAATTACCAGAGAAAAAGTTGGTATTATGGCCAGTCTCAAATCTCCGTTATTATAGTGAATTCCACTGATGGAGTCATTTGTTTAGTAGTTCGCTGTTAGCGCAATAGTTAGAATTCTTTTCATAATGCATTTTTTCTTTCGAACATTTCGAAATGTTTTTCAAGGTACATTTTAGCATTTGATTAGACATGTCTCCTTATTATTTTTAAACTTGAGCGTATTATCACACAAATATATGTACAATCGAGTATTTCGTTTGTTACTTGAAATTTTATTCGGTTATACATCTTTCAAGTTATGCAAAGTTAAATGAAGTAATATGAAATTTGGTAATGTGGATTTCCAGAGTACAATTTTAGCTAATTTTATGTACATTCTATGATCTGCCGTCTGAAATCTGCCATCTTGGAAAATGAATTTTAGGATGTGGATCTCAGATTCGTAATCAGCGACCTCAAAAACTAACCAGAGTACAATTTTAGCTAATTTAATAAAAATTCTATGATCCGCCATCTTGAATCCGCCATCTTGGAAAATTACTTTTGGAATTTGGACCACAGATTCGTAATTAGCGACCCCCAAATCTTGATTTTGAGCAAAAAATTCACTCATAGTTCGTGGAAAACGATTTTTTTCTATAAAAATGTGTATTTTTCACATTTTGTTTATTTATAATAAACACATGACAACTTATGCAAAACACTTTTCAACCTTTTATGTATGTTTCCATATCATATAAGAAGCTAACAAACACAAAAAACCCGACAGGAATCCGTCAAATATGAAATATTTCATGAAAATGTGAGAATAAATAGGTGGTAAGTATACTTATCACTATGCCTCAAAGGGTTAAGAGTTTTAGACACTATGTTTATAATTTTTGTCTATCTTGATGATACAAAAGATATAACTAATCATCACTGTAGACATCGTATCTTTTTCTAAATACCTTGCATTTTTCAAGGTATGTCAAATCAGCTAGAGACTATCACGGCAGTCAATGTGTTAATTGAGTCCCTTTTTGGCGGCGTTGCACTAATTAACACGTATCTTTTCCGATTAAATCGTATCTAGAGAAGTATCATTCTAACTGATATCCGAAGTATCATGGCAGCTGGTGCAGCCAGTAGCAGGATGCTGCATTGGGAAGCCAAGTTGAAGGATCCTCGCATATGTCCTTTTGAAACCATACCACTTCTGAAACGTTTCTTAATATCTTTCATATTTTTCAAGATTTTTGCCTGGTCCATTTAAAATGGGACACTCTGTATGTGTATATATATATATATATATGCAATTAATACAAATATATACTTTTTAAGCAAATAAAAAGAAATAAATAATAAATGTTACGAAAAAATAAAATTTTTTGCTCCGCTCAACAATTAATTATATTTGCTTATTTCCTTTCTTAATTATTTGATATTCGTTTGTCATATATATTCTATCTGCTGTTAAGCAACTTGCACAATTGATATATTGTTGAAATTAAGAATGAAGAGGAAATGATATAAAATATTGAGATAATCGAATATAAAATAATTCTGAAGCGAACAACGATACGTATTATGTTTGCACACAGATATGTAGGTATGTGCAATTAATATAAATATATTTCCACAGTCAACGAGAAAAAGATAAATAATAAATATTACGAAGAAACAAAATCCGCTGTTACGCTCAAAAATTAATTTGATTCGCTTATTGATTTTTCTTAATAAAATACTGAAATAACCAAATATAAAATAATTCCGGAGGAAGTACTTTTTTTTTTTAGGACGATTCAACGTGGAAAAATCATTAGTAGCAGCCGTATAGCGCAATAATCCTCGTAACATCCTTCAAGTACAACGGAACTTATAGCGCTAGCATGAAACGGAAACCTCGACTCGGGAATTAACGGTCATGTGCGTTACCGTGTATATTACTAACGAGAATCATTGTCCAACGTTTGCATATTATGCAATTAGTGCGCAGCATAAACTTTTGCTCGACGTCCCGTCCCCCATCGTCGAGTCGTAAGTGACGGATCACTCTTTACCGGAGTAGCCCTCGGGCCGTATCCGAAGCTCTTGGGGACGGATGAGTTGCGGGTACTGCTTACGCTATCCATAAAATCAGTTACACCGGCATTACGAGTGTAATGCATTTCAGACGATAATATATACACCCGAGACGAAGTCGCATTTAAAGCGGGCCGCTCCGTCGCACACTTTCCGTTTTATTCACCCCTGCGCATGCAAAGCCGTTTAAGTTGAGATTTCCGTTTCACCGAAATTTATTACGACGTAAAAATTGTTAATTACTTCTTTAGTAAAATGTAGCATCGTTCCGCAGGAGAAAATCTGTTTGATATGATGATAATAAAGGTTACAATGCGATACACGACAAATGGTTAACCGTAAATTATCATAGCATGTGTCATGCAAAATTGCAATTTCTGCCATTTTGCGAGCGAGAAAATTTAGAAAATTTATCACGAAATACGCGGTGAGGAATTATTGATTCACGTCTCAAGTAAAAAATTTGTATAAACAAAATGTTCAGAAGAAAACTCAAAATTTTCCGTATCTTTTTTGACATGCGCTCTTTGCATTAGAATTTTATTTGTTTCTTAATTTTATATTAAGTACATATTATAAGGTGAGGTACCTAAAACAGGCCATCTGAATAACCTTGAAAATATGCAAGATTAAAAAAAAATGTTAAATACAGAAGTCGTAGGGGTTTTTATCAATATAATCTTGAACAGCGTTATCAAGATTACGGGAAGATCACCTTGAATTTCTTAAATAGAAACTCCCATTTTTTATATATCATCTTTTTCCAATTAATTTGAACCGATTAATTTAAACAACTTTCGTCTATAACATTCTTTTATTTGCCTAATACTTTTTGAGATATTTAAGGAAAACTTGATAACTTTTTCAATATTTAACCTACGATATCTCACTAATTATTTGTCGGAAGAAAATACTACATTTTTTTACTTTATTTGGTACTACATTTTTTTACTTTATTTGGTCCCAAGTATATGGTGCTGTTACCGTATTGTCTTAACTTTTATCAGCTGTTGACTTCTCGAAATTTCAAAATCATCAACTTAACAAAAGTTCCCGCATTATTATAGCAGCATATTCTTGAGACCAAATAGAGTAAAAAAAGTCCGGTATCACTTTTTCTTCCGACAAATAGTTATCGAGATATCGTAAGCTAAATATTGAAAAGCCCACCAAGTTTTCGTTAAATATATCAAAAATTGTTAGGCAAATAAAAAAATCAAACAAGGAGTGTTCGAATTAATTGGCAGAAAAAGATGATATAATGTAAAAAATAGAGGTTTTTATTTAAAAAATTCAAGACGACCTTATATTGTTACGTGATGCGTTTTAATACTTCTGTGTATATAACATTTCTTTCCATCTTGAATATTTGCAGAGTCATTCCTCTGTTAGATGCTTCATTCTGTAATTCGCGTAAAATAAAATTCCCTGTCTACCATAAAATATCATAAAAATATATCGACTGGATCGTTATTGACTGGAAAGAAACGCCAGTTCTTATAGTACTTTTTGTCTCGATTCTAGACAAGAAACTCATATTTGGGATAAGATTTAGATAAGAATGAGATTTTCAATTGGTATCGCAACTGAATAACCAATTTTGGGACGAATTTTTGGATATTCTAATCGGATTCTATGTAAAATCTGGGAAAATCCTGAGAAATTTCTACGCGAGACGACGCACATCCGATGCAAAACATTCGATGTTGGCCTTAACATTTTGGAATCAGGGCTCTTTTGGTCCCCGCCGATTTTCGCTGACCATGCGATTTTCGCGTCCGCATGAAAAAGAAAGAAAATAAAGAGGACGAAGAACGCGCCGAGTCACTTCTTTTGGACTTCAGTCATTAACTACAAGAGAGGAACCTCGGGCTAAACGCCGTGCCAAAGAAGAAGGAGAAGTGGGAGAAGAAAGAGATGAAGAAGAAGAAAGAGAAAAAGAAGAAGGAGAGGAGGAAAGGGAAAGAGAAGGAGAAGGAGAAGGAGAAGAAGAAGGAGAAGAAGAAGGAGAAGGAGAAGAAGAAGAAGAAGAAGAAGAAGAAGAAGAAGAAGAAGAAGAAGAAGTCGGACTCGCGGGTGGTCCTACTGCGGTGAACCGCGATGGTAGCAGCGGGGCAAACTAGCCGCGTGTCTGAAACGCCCACTTACTTCCGTTAAGATTTATTCCCCGTCGTACGGCAAAATAAAGCATTAATAAGAGATTCGGCTAGAGTCCATTTATATGCAAAACGAAAGCAAAGTCCACGGCTGAGGACCGGGCATTACGAGAAGTATAATTCACCGGCACGTCGAAGCCGCTCAGATAAGGATACCGACCGAGATTTCTGATGTGTCAATATCGATATATTGGCGATTACCGCATCGGATCAGCGATAGTCGGGCCATAGGAATAATACGAGACCGAAGAATACCTCGTTAACACATTGACTATCGAGCGTAGGTCATTACGCGGCAGCGTTGCACATTGATCGTTTAAAGAGTGTTAATCGGCTGAAATAACCTGAATTAACATCGAGTAAATATCATAATTACATAGTATGAATTGTTTCAGTCGATTTGATACTTTGATCTAATTGATTATACATTGGTTAATGTATAATCAATTAATATATACCAGTTTAATTAATTGCATTTAATTAATTGCATGTATTAATGCAATAATCGATTAATTTTCATTATTGATCATTTGCCGATTATTCTTGTCGACTAAAATTTTTACCGATTAATGCTCGACATTGGTTTCATAGTCGATGTGCGAAAAGAATTCTTTATTCCATATCCCTCGTCTGTAAACTTTGTTGAATAATAAATGCAAGCAATTAGAGTATTGAAAAAACATGCTGATTTTTAAGTGATGGAAATAAAGTCCCCGGAAATAATGTCATTGTAACACTTAATATGTTAACGTTTAAC